AGCAAACCACCCTAAGAAATTCTTCCCCCTCTACTAACCAGCAGGATTTCCATCAACACAAAGTCCACTGGCTCCCATTTTTACTGGCTGTCTAAGCGTGCTCAGTACAGATGTTGAATCGAAGTAGATTAGGATTGGATCACCAGCCTGAAAAGACAATTTGGAGAAATCACAGGCAAAGTGACTATGGAATACTAAGGCCAAGCACAAGGTGATGACATCATCAGGGCACAGAGGCAAATTTATACTTCCCTAGCTATATATATTTATATACTATATAAATTTATAGTATAGTATACTATACTTTATACTTATATATATTGTATACTATACAAACCCTTTTTGTCTAAAGGGTTGCCCAAATTTTTAAATACAAGAAAACTAATCAGAAACTTTACACAATAAGGAATGAAAAGAACAGAGATAATATGGATTATAGGTAGAAAAATAAGAATCTTTCAATCTGTTCTCATTAGATCTCATTACAGACAGCTTTAGTAAAAGTGTATCTGCAAACTGATTGCTATTTTCTTTCAACTCACCCGGTAAAAGGCAGAGAATGATGGCTGGACTTGTGATGGTGCTAAGAAAGAGTGTTCAAAAAATCAGATTCTTTGATCTCCTGTGGCTGTTGGAAATAGTTCAGCTTTGCTAAAGGTTGAAAAGAGAAAAAAAAAATTCTGCCAATATCAAATTACTAGAAAAGACAGATCTAAGAAAAAGTAAATATTATGCCAATATTTTTAAAAGGAACAACTTTAGTAATTATAAGCTAGATAGTGCCTTATATTAATTAATCCATAGTAACACTGCTAACAGGCTAATATGAGCTATGAACAGGATGATATAATGAGTACTAGTTTGTACTGTTTCATGGGAAACAGGTGCTAACACACAAATGTGACTTTCCAAAAAGCATGAAAACTGCTTAAGACAACTATCTTAATATGTGCTCTAATTTCTGTAAGGTGCCCAAATTAGACACACATGACATTTTAATGACAAAACACTACCAATACATGAGTTCACTAAAACCAACATTAAATGGACTCAAAATAATTAAGGTTGGTAAAACTCAAAGTAAGTATGAATAGGGAATAGGCATCCTAAAAACCCCAGACTTTCTACTGGTATCCCACAGTGATGCCCTCCTGACCCAGTGGTATTCGGTATGGTTACAATGTTATAATGTATTAAATTATTAATGCTAAAACACTAAGTCATAAAATAGCAAATTATTAGGGACATACTATGTAGACTCATCCTAATGGACTTGTTCAAACAATAAACTTCTTAATACATCCAAATAAAATGTTTTACAAGGTTCGAGGACTACCGATCATACCAACAGGAGTGAGTGGCAGTATCCTCAATTACAATAGTACCAAAAAGAATTTAGGCAGTCTAGTAGGTTTGCGGGGGGGGGAAGAAAAAAAAAAGAACTTAAGCTCTCAATGTAATTCTGCTGTTTGAGGGCAGAGCAGATCCTCAGATGTACAGAGCAGCAAGCAGAAATAAAAGCTTTTTTATATCCGAATACATCATTAGTCAAGCAGTCAACTAAATCTCTTAAGGAGATAAAGGCTGAAGGAGTATTAAGGTCCTACAAGGTTCACAAAAATAGGTGCACAGAGCAGCTTTCTTATTATTCACTTGAGGGTATAATCATTAGACTGAAAAAGAAAACACTGGTAGTTGTGCTACTCACAATCATTTCTTTTCTTTGGAATGCAATTCTTTACGTACTCTTCTATTACCAAAGCTGAATACTTGCTAATGCAGATTAACAACATTACATAATGCAAAATATACCTGAAAACTGGAAGAAAAGGCCTTCTGCAGCAAAACTTAAGATATTCAAACTGCTCAAGTTTTCAGAGAAAAGACATATATAACTTGTTCATAGTGTAGTTTGCTCAAGAAAGCATGCTAGCTACTACAGGCTATTTAATCTTGTAGGAAAAGGCAAAAAAGAATTTCAGACAATTTAATTTGTCTGAAACCAGACAAACTTAAAAAAAAAACCCAGGAGTCAGGCTCATGGATAATGATTCTTGTAACTTTAAAATGCACTCATATTAGTTCTTCCACTCATTTAGAAGCAGAAATAGCAGCAATATTCTCCTAACACCTACAAAGACTAGAGACAAAGTTGTTATCTTGAGGAGCTAGTATGTGAAACAGGAATGCTTTTAAAAGTACTTTAAGTATTTTGAAAATATCAGGTATTTCCAACTGTCCCTGAGAACTCATCTCTTCCTCTTAATGAATTAATTGTCAGTTGGATCAGCAAGACTACCTGACTCAGCCAGCTACATGATCATTAGACAGAAAGAACTGTTAGGGACGTGGTGAGCAGTCACACTGCTCCATTTAGTACCAATACAGTCTAAAATCAGTTTAAGACATATGGGAAACTCCATCTTTAGCACAAGACAGTGAAAAGGCAGTACTGGGAAAAATTACAAAAGGAAGAAAGGGCCACAGAGGGCACAAAAGAAAGAGAAGATTGGGTGTGATGAGCTATCAAGGTTAGAGGAATGCCAGAGTTGTGAACAGCTGTCAGATGGAGAACAACAGTATGAAAAAGTAGAAAAATAAAGCAATCAAAGGATGGCAACAGTCAGAAAAATAGGCAAGAAAAGATGACTAGGTGAAGCAAAGGATGTTTTACACTTCAGGAAAGACAGCTGAAATAGAGTACTGCAGTCAAGAAAGAATGAGGACAGGCATGGAAGAGCCATTAGTGACAAGCAGAGGAAGAAAAAACCTGCATCTTTTAGAAGCATCATAAAGAAGTATTAGTAAAACTTGAACACTACTCTGGCATCTGCTAGCAATGGTTTCAATGAGGTGAAGTCAACTTGTGCATCACAATCTCTTTGTTACTGGCCACGATAATTCATTAGGTTCAGAGCCTGTTCCCACTTGCCCTTTTACAGGAGGCCCTCTGGAGCAGGCTTGATTATATTTCTGGCAGTGGTCAGATGTCACCATCCATCCTGGAAAGGCTTCTTCCACAATCAGTTGATGAGAACATATATGTTTCCATATTTCCTTGGGGAAGGCCAAAGGGGAGAACGCTGTTTCTACCAGAAAACTTTATCATCCTTCAGGTGATCCCAAATAAAGTCTTTCCCAGATGTTCTTCCAAGAACAAGCACAGAAAAGGAAAAGGCCACGTGAGCAGTGAATTCTGTTGTTCGCAGGTGTGCCACACCTAATGTTCACATGCAATCAAATGTCTATGGCTTGTTCAGTGGTCCTAATCATGTGATAGATACGGGGCCCAAATATTAAATGGCCAGAAAAATCTGGTGCCATCAATCTAGACACAGGTGATCCTTCCTTTGGATGAGATTACAAATTCAGAATCCTTCTAATCCTATTTTTATGACACTATGGGTAGTGTGGGAAAAGGATAAAATTTAGCTACTTCCAAGTTACAGGCTGGAATACCCAGGAGCCTGATGGCACTTTCAGCTGTGGTTAAACCCTCATCAAAATTTATCTTTACTCTGAGACCTACTGAAAATTGGAATGGGTGAAATTCTAGCACTGCTACCTATCATACTATGTACTATGAGGCTCTCATTGCTTCTTTGATCTTCCTTGTAGGCAAAACATTCAGGCAACATCTGCGAAGAGCTGAAAGCAGGACTAGATAATAGGAAGCTAACCCTGTTTTGACTAGTTGTTGGACTAGTTAACCTCCTGAGTCCCTCCCAACCTAAAATGCTCTATGATTTAGGTCCGAAGTAGATGGGACTGTGGGTCAAAACTCCCAGGCAAAAGGCTCAAAAGAGAAAACGGTAAGTGTTCAAATGTGGGACCCTAGTGAATTGCAATGAATGCCAGAGTTGGACATCAAATCAGTTAAATGAAGTACAATGTGGAAAGCAGAAAGAGAAAAAAGTGTTAATGGCATACCGTACGAGGGTATACGATTACTAGAGAAAAATCATTGCCAGCAGAGAAGAAAGTATAAAAATAAGCATATGAAATAAAGTATCCAAGATACAGTAAGAAATCACTTTCTGAAAAGGATAATAGTGGTATATTTCAAACATCCACCCTTATTTGCTGCTTTAAGTGTAGCAAAGTAAGGAAGGTATCTCAGTTACAGAAGCAATTGATAAAGGCTGATTTGTGTTTAGCCAGAGACCCTACCCTCACACTGAGTACAATATTCTTTTTTTTGTTTGTCTTTGGTGATGGGACCCTGATTCACTATGGTCTCTCTGGCACTATTACAGCCCAAATAATTAGTAACAATTATAACAGGTAAGTTTAAAAAAAAGATTCCTTAAGCAGAGGCAATCTAGAATTAAATGTGTGGAAAGAAAGGTTACTTACAGTCATCCAGCTGCACACAGAACAGCAGATCATGTCCACCAGGGACAGCCACGGTATCAGTAGGATAAGGGGTGTTACTTCTGAAGATGAGTGATTTTTCCACACACACTTGACTCACAGACCTGCAAAGACAAGATCCCCCCCCCAGCAAACTGTTAAAGAGGCTATTCTTGCATAATTTTGTATTTTACGTTACTAAATGCCAGCAACAGAACGCAGTATTACTTTTCATCGGCTTACATGAGTGATTGTACAATTTGCATTGACAATCAATTACAGAAAGGCTCTCTCGTCATTGTAGTAACTTTGTGGATACTCTTTGTTTGTATATTTAGAAATCACTCTGAAATTCCCCGGAACAAAAAGTGGTAAAGAGATTCAGTGTCCGTGTATTACAGCTCCACTCGGTCCTCCTCACAACTGCAATCTGCAAAGACAGGGTTCACCCACAGATCTTACGCTCCAAATAGCTGAAACTGCCTTCCTCACTGACAGCATCTCGCGGTTTGTAACTGCTTTAACTGTCTCCCAGTTGTATATTAAAGTTCTTTTTTCCTAAGATAAGACTTCCTAGTTCCCACCGCCTGTAGCCTCACCACAGAGTCACCGAGCCCTGCTTTACCTGGGCCATTAAAACGTCGGCCATGGGAAGCCGTCCCGAGCCCTCGGCTCAGAAGTAAGCTGTCCCCCGTCCCCGAGAGGCGTGGCAAACCCGACAGCGAAACTGACGCGGCTGAACTGCGGTTCCTGCCGGGTGCCCGGTCCCTGTCCCTCGGTCCGCCTCGGCCCACGCGCGGCACCGGCCGGGGCGGCGCCAGCAGCGGTGG